AGAATTTCCGCATTCTGTTGGCTCACCTTTCTTTGGAGTAGGCATAAATATGGATCTCTTCCAGTCATTTGGCCAAGTAACTGTCTTCCAAATTTGGTGTTTTTTTTTTTTTTTTAGTGTACATTAATGATATTGTTCAAGAATTTCCGCATTCTGTTGGCTCACCTTTCTTTGGAGTAGGCATAAATATGGATCTCTTCCAGTCATTTGGCCAAGTAACTGTCTTCCAAATTTCTTGGCATAGACGAGTGAGCACCTCAAATGCTGCATCGGTTTGTTGAAACATCTCAGTTGGTATTCTGTCAATTCCTGGAGCCTTGTTTTTCACCCATGCCTTCAGTGCAGCTTAGACTTCAGTTCTTGAGCATATGCTACCACTTGAAATGGTTGAACGTCGACCAATTCTTTTTGGTACAGTGACTCTGTATTCCTTCCATCTATCTTCTTTTGATTCTTCCAGCATCGTTCAATATTTTGCCCATAGAGTCCTTCAGAATTGCAACTTGAGGCCTGAATTTTTTCTTCAGTTCTTTAAGGTTCAGAAATGCTAAGCATGTTCTTTCCTTTTGGTTTTCTAACTCCAAGTCTTTGCACATTTCATTATAATACTTTAGTTTGTATTCTCGAGCCACCCTTTGAAATCTCTTCAGTTTTTTTACTTCATCATTTCTTCCACTTGCTTTAGCTACTCTACGTTCAAGAGCAAGTTTCAGAGTCTCTTCTGACATCCGTTTTGGTCTTTTCTTTCTTTCCTGTCTTTTTAATGACCTCTTGCTTTCTTCATGTATGATGTCCTTGATGTCATCCCACAACTCGTCTGGTCTTCAGTCATTAGTGTTCGTTGTGTCAGTACTATTCTTGAGATGGTCTCTAAATTCAGGTGGGATATACACAAGGTCTTATGTTGGTTCTTGCGGACTTTTTAAAATTTTCTTCAGCTTCAACTTGAACTTGCATGTGAGCAGGTGATGGTCTGTTCAGCAGGTGGCCCCTGGCCTTGTTCTGACTGATGACACTGAGCTTCCTTATTGCCTCTTTCCACAGGTACAGTCGTTTGATTCCTGTGTATTCCATCTGGCGAGGTCCACATGTATAGTCACCGTTTATGTTGTTGAAAAAAGGTATTTGCACTGAATAAGTTGTTGGTATTGCAAAATTCTGTCATGGGATCTCTGGCATCCTTTTTATCACCAAGGCCCTTTTTTCCAACTACTGATCCTTCTTTGTTTCCAGCGTTCGCATTCCAGTCACCAGTAATTATCAGTGCATCTTGATTGCACTTGATCAATTTTAGACTGCAGAAATTGGTAAAAATTTTAAATTTCCTCATCTTCGGCATTAGTGGTTGGTGTGTAAATTTGAATTATACTCCTATTAACTGGTCTTCCTTGAAGGTGTAGATATTGTCCTATCACTGACAGTGTTATAGTTCGGGATAGATCTTGCAGTGTTCTTTTTGACAATGAATGTGACCCCATCCCTCTTCAGTGTGTCATTCCCTGCATAGTAGACCATAGGATTGTCTGATTCAAGTGGCCAATACCAGTCCATTTCAGCTCAGTAATGCCTAGGGTATCTATTATAGGAAATGCATTCCATTTCATTTTTGATGATTTATTATTTTCTTAGATCCATTCCACGTTCCAATTAATTATAAATGAATGTTTGCAGCTCTTTCTTCTCATTTTGAGTCATGCCACATCAGTAAATGAAGGTCCTGAAAGCTTGACTCCATCCACGTCATTAAGGTCGACTCTACTTTGAGGAGGCAGCTCTTCCTGTCATTTTTTGAGTGCCTTCCAAGTTGAGGGGCTCATCTTCTGGCAGTATATCAGACAGTGTTCTGCTGCTGTTCATAAAGTTTTCACTGGCCAATTTTTTCAGACGTAGGCTGCTAGGTCTTTCTTCCTTGTCTGTCTTAGTCTTGAAGCTCAGGGAACTGCCAGAAATTCAAGCCAGATTTAGAAGAGAATGTGAAATGAGGAATGTCACTGCTGATGTCAGATGGATCTTGGCTGAAAGCAGAGTATACCAGAAAGATGTTTACCGGTGTTTTATTGACTATGCAAAGGCATTCAGCTGTGTGGATCATAACAAATTGGGATTCACATTGGAAGAATGGGAATTCCAGAACACTTAATGGTGCTCATGCGGAACCTGTACATAGACCAAGAGGCAGTCGTTTGAGCAGAAGAAGGGAATACTGCGTGGTTTAAAATCAGGAAA